AAAAAAAAAAAAAAATGAAAAATTAACAAATAAAAACAAATTGGGATTTGGCCCCCCAAAAAATGAATTGAAATGACTGAGATGCCTTGAATTCAACAACAACAACAACAACAAAAAAAAAAAAAAAAAAAAAAATGACAAATTAACTGAGCACAGCAGTGGATGCCTGTGATCTGAGCTACAAGGAAGGCTGAGGCAAGAGGATCACTTGAGCCCAGGAGGTTGAAAGGCTGCAGTGAGCCATGTCACACTACTGCACTCCAGCCTAAGTGACAGAGTGCGACTATGTCTCAATAAGAAACAAAACGAAACAAAACATAAAATAAAAAGGGAACGATGGTTGTAAAATCAAAGTACCTTAGGATGTGCTTCCCAAGAGTATAGATAGCAGAAAGATCTCTGGTCTCTGCAGTTGCAGGCTTGGATTCTTGTCCAGCTCCAAAAAACTAGTCTGTGACTTTGAGGTCACTTTCCCTCTCTGGTCCTCAGTTTCATCTGTAAAATGAGGGCAGTGGATTAGACCTTTGCCAAGGTCTCTTTCACACCAAACAACATATTCCATAAAGACACGTCAGGTAGTTCCCATATAAGAGGCCAATCCAAATTTAAATAGCAAAGCGTTTTTCAAACCACACAGCATTTTCTTGTTGCCAGAGAGAACTCAGGTTAAGTATTTACCTTTCAGCATAACAGATTCATCTCTCTCAAATTCATTCAGTCACTCCCTTCTGTAAGGTACCTAAGAAATCCCCCCACAGAGCCTCCTCTCATGAACTCTCTAAAACAACCATATAGATGAGGAATCAAACTCTAGAAGGTAGACTCAGGGTCACACAGTTGGGAATTTGCAAAGCCTGACTCTGGAGGGCCCCTGACTCCCAAATCAGCGGTCTTCGCACTAGTCTCCCCTACGCTGAAGCTTGATATAGGTGAGTTCTGGCCTCGGCCCCAAGGCGCATAGCCTGTGACGAGAGAATGATCGCTTTTCTATGACCCAGGGAAATTCGAGGGCCGTGATCCAGCCCGGGAGTCAGACGAGGCCTCCCCGAGGTGGAAATGGTAGGCGGTAACCAGATCGAGGAGAAAAGAGGAGGTAGGAGGTAATCAGATCGAGAAGAAAGATGTGCCGGGAGGTGTAAGAGAGAGAGCGGCGCCCGGGGAAGGAGGGGAGGAGGAGCGAAGAAAGATATTAGTGCGGGATTGTGGTGAAAACTCATAAAAAGGACAGCACCTGAACCTGGCTTAGAAAAACAATCAGTATTTAGACAGAAGACGTTCCTACCAGAGAAAACGGCGTGAGAATCCTAGAAGAAAACCCCCAAATCTACCGCCCCTCAGAAGAATGAACGGGGGCGCCGCCTCCTCTCGGGACTCTCTCCGACCTCAAGGTCCAAAGCCCGAACACATCCCAGTGGCTGGCTGAGAGTCCAGCTACTCAGATCGCCCTCCAGGACGGTGCAGACCACTGGTCTCCCGCCTCGGCCGTTGCCAAGGTAATCGAGAACAGAGGGAAAACACCTACCGGAACCTACGGTACCTTGGGTAGCTGCTTCTCGACTGACGGCTTCCGCTCCTCAGGCGAGCTCTGAGGCATGAGGTCCTCGCGGAGCCCCGCCCATCCCGCGCGGAGATTGCGTCATCTTAGGTGTCCTCAGCAATGCCTGTATAGAATTCCAGAGTCGCTGTTGCCTTTTGCCCTCATTTCCGGTGAGTGTCCGGCAGGGCCACGCGTCTCCCCGAACGGAGAGACTGGGGGCGTTGTTGCCTGGCAGCGCGCGGGCAAGCCTGGACTCAGGCGGCGCACAGGACAGTCCGACTCCGTGCGGAGCCCTCCCTGAGGTCCGGGTCCTTGCGGCCACTGCGGCCACTGAGGTGGTGGCGGCGGCGGCGGGGACTGGGCCGGGCGGAAGAAGTCGAGCCCAAGACATTTCCGGTTCCGGTGTCAGTTCGAGGCGCCGCCGCCGCCGCAGCCGCCGGAGCCGCGATGCCTAAAGGAGGTGAGGGGCGGGCGCGCGTGTCCCGCAGGCCTAGAGGGGCGGCCCGAGTCCGGCTCCCGCTGTCCCCTCAGCCCGTGGGCGTCTCTGAGAGCAACGCAGAGGGAGGCTGTGCGCACTGGTTGAGAGCCAGGCCTGGGCCTCGACGCCCAATTGTCCCGATGGGGAAACTGAGGACTGTGGTATCCAAGAGCCACTCCGTCAGTGGTCTGAGGAGTTTCGGAAGCTCTGGGTCCTGGCCAACGTAGAAACCCGGATCTAGGATGCGCTTCTCCGGGCCTAGGGGTTCTGGAATTTATCCCACTTTTAGGCTGGCCGGGAACTGAGTCACCGCGTCCCGCGCTTGTGCCGGGCCCGCCTGCCTCTCGCGTAAAACGTGGGCCTTTTCTGGCTTCGGTTCAGCCAGGCCTGCGTAGGAAGACTTAAGGCGATGCCCATGAGCCTTGCAGACTTGGTTTCGACTCCCCTTTCGGTAACGGCTCGGTGTGTTCCTTTGAGCCAGTCGCTCCACCTCCTGTGTCTCCGTTTTCTCTTTTGCCAATGGGAATAACGATTGTACCGACCTCGTAGTACTGTTGGGAGGCTTCAACTAGGTAATCCACGTGGAGTGGGCAGTACAGTGCCAGGCAGTCGTTAAAAGTGCCCAGTGAAGCAATAACTATTCCTATTTTTAAGGCTTTGCCAGCTCTTGGCCTTCTAAGAAGGTCCATGACTGCCCAGTCCATTGTAGCCCGTCCTCTATCCTGTTTCCCCCTTTAGAATCGATATTCCCCAATTTGAATCCCAGCCGTGTCACTGTCTAATTCTGTGGTCGTGAACAAGTTAACCTCCCTCTCATCTGAAACACTGGGCTAATCCTTAGCTGGGTGAGTTGGGGCTGGGGTGGTAAAATGATAGCGCTCACAGAGTGCCTGGCTACCTCCTGGCACAAAACAAATATATTTGTATTGGTAGCTCATGTGTTATGTTGGTTAATGCACTCAACCCACAGAAACATCTGCCTGGAGCGTTTTCAAACCTAAATCGCTTCCTGACTCCAGAGATAATTGGGCATTACAGAGCTAAATGTGTTTAAACCTAGCTCTCTACTGATTTATTCTGTAGCTGGAAAAGTCTCTCTGCTATTGTTCCCCAGTCCCTTCATCTGTAAAAGGAGGTTGCTGAATGAGCCATCCTCCTTCCAAAGTTTTACTTAATGGATACTTTGGGCAAAGGTTGGAGGTTACAATTAGAAAACCTTAAATATGAATTCATAGCTAAATGGTCTTTGGGCTTGTGAAAAGCTTTTTTGGGTAGACAAGGTGTACGTTTTCTTGGGTTAATCTGAAAACCGCAAAAAACCCTGAAGGTGTTAAAAGAATCAACCTCCCCAAGAGCAAAGGACCGACTCTTGTTTGCATTATGTTAACTGCAAAGTGTTTTTTAAATTTCGAGTTGTTAATGTTGCCTGCTGTATTAAGAGAGCAAGAAAGGGTGTTGGTTTTTTTCTTGGCACACTTGCTGTCTCACAATAGGACTTTAGTAAGCATATACTTAGACACCCCTGGGAATCTAGGTAGTCATTAAAAATGGGTGGTGTGGTCTGTAGCAGCCCAATTATGGCTCTGCAGCTGCTGTAAGGAATCAGGAGACCAGTATCTCTGCTACCGCCTCTGGAGTGCAGAGCAACTCTGGCTGATTACAGAGTCTCTGCTCAGAGACAGACTCTGGAAATCAGGTGGGCCTCAGCTTCCAGGAGAGGTCGTGTGTGGAAGTTGAGGCCACAGCCACTCCTGCATACTCGGGGACCAGCAGAGGGGGATGCCACCCTGCTTTAAAACTGGCTGATGGCGGCCAGGCGCGGTGGCTCAAGCCTGTAATCCCAGCACTTTGGGAGGCCAAGACGGGCGGATCACGAGGTCAGGAGATCGAGACCATCCTGGCTAACACGGTGAAACCCCGTCTCTATTAAAAAATACAAAAAACTAGCCGGGC